CAGTTAAGGAGCACTGGTAGCACAGTGATTAAGCACTTGCTGCTCATCAAAAGGTTAGCGGTTCAAACCTCCCAAACACTGCTTAAGAGACAAGACCTGGCGGTCTGGTCCCTTAAAGATTACAGCATGGAAAAGCGCTTAGGGCCGCTTTATTTAGTCATATCACATCACTGTACGTCAGAATTGACTCAAGAGCACATGACAACACTCTACAAAGTACAAAGACTTATATGTGAGACGAAGGCCTGTTCAAAATAAATTTAACCAAAATTCTCTACATAGTCTACCAAAAAATTTGGAAAATAATAGAACACGAAAATAAATATCTATTTAAACACCTATTTTCTCCCCCACCAACAAAAACTTTTTCATTAGGGCTAATCCAGACATCATACCATTCCATAGTTTAAGCACATCAAGCAGTATTGTACAACTGCTACCAAAATCAGTTTCAAAACATTTTCTTCCTTCTGAACTACTTTATATTAGCTCCCTCTTAGTCCCCCATACACCCCTCCCCCATCAGGCCACCCCCCAGGAACTCTTATTCTAGTTGTTTTTCTCTAGAAGTCCATCATACTGAAAAACACATAGTAAAGATGTAAGAAGGCTATCCACAACAACTAAATACTAGAGATAAACCCCAAAACCCACAGAAAAATATCGAAAACCAAATCAAGCTTAAAGTGTTTCAGAGAGGACCACAGTCATTTGTCCAATACTCTCTGTCTGATAACCAGTTTATTCCCATCTCCCAATTATGGTTGGAAGGAAATCACCACAGGCTTATTCCCTGTGTAGATTCTGCAAATGTATTTTGAGTTTCCACTGTCATCCATATTCTGCAAATGTGTTTTGGGTTTCCACTGTCATCCATATCCTGCCTGCTGCTAACCAGAATCCCACAACTTAAGCTCTGATACTATTCCCTCCTTCAGATTTGGATTATATAATTTAAAATCCTTGGGTCACAGATGTTGGTGTGTTTCTTCCATGTGGACTTAGTTGACAAATCATTTGGATGGCTCCTTGTTTGGACACAAGCCTTTAAAATCCCAGATGCTATTTTTTCTGATAGGTGGGCACAATCTAATTTCTTCACTACACTTTGCTATAGCATCCAGATCTTCTGTGTTTCATTCATGAGGGTGAGTGTCAAGTAGGGCCATGTTGTGAGAACCAATTGTTCTTAAAATGGACATAAGATTACATTTGAGTCCCAAATCCATTCCTGAATCTAAGTTTTTCATCTGCCTCTAGCTCACCCTAGAGACATCCTTGTTAATTTATGGTAGAGAATCTTATCGATTATCTCCCTGGAGCATAAGACTTTCTGCTAATAGTGCCATTGATCAGTTCGTGGTGAAAAATTAAAAAACACTATTGAGAGAGGGAGATTGAACAAGTATAGGGTAATTACATATCACAATACCTGAATTATTCACTTGTACAGAATATATCCTTACATGACTGGACACGATTTACACACACAATGGGAGTTGGTTGTCAGGCAAAACCACAATAATGTTCACTGAGAATGTCAATCTCAGGTGTGCCAGAGCAAGACATATCTTAATACAGCAAGTAGGCCATTGGAGTAGTAGGTCAATGTTGGTCCACCTACCGACAGTTCTTTGGTACAGCTGTCTTCTGCTTCTTCACAGACCATGTCATTTCAGTCGTAAGTCATCAGATTACAGGTGTGTTTGAGGAGAGTCCAGTTCACTGAGTGGGGTTTCCACATTGGGTCCCTGTGGTACGGCCTTTGGAGCGTGCTGTGCACCTTGAAGGTCCGGGCTTCAATGCCCCAATGTTCTACGGCACTTGATCTACCTCCCCAGGGAGTGTACAGAAACTAGGGCCAATGTGGCTTACTAGGTGCATATAAAACACTTACTTTCTGAAGAACAACTGAACAAATTATTGACATGTACAATTTTGAGATTAGTCTTAAAGGCTTTTGAAATAATTGAGATATATATATATATTTAATATTCTACTAAAATGTTGTTCTTAGGTACCATGGAGTCGGTGACCCTAAGTACAACAAAGGAAACCCGACTTGGTCCTGCACCATCCTCACCGTTATGTTTCAGTTGACTGCCACAGCAACCCTGCCAAAGCCATCTACCAAGAATCTACCATCAACACCCACTACAACAGACTTAAACAATTTGCTTTCCTGGGATTAAGTAACAGATAATGAACAAAAATCTTTGTAACTGAAAGGAAAAACCGAAAACCCAACTTTCTAATAAAAACTGAAGCAAGAAAAGTATGTACAAGTGTGGGTGGATGCTAAGATATTTTAAATAAGAGGATAATAAAATTTCCAAGCATCCTATCAATATTTCTAACACAGAAAACACCAGAAAAGGGTAATATGTATGTAAAAAAAGAGGAACTATTATCCAGATTTTAGAAATCGCAATAGTAATCATTTCTATAACTGGATTAGAAACACCTTTGCTTCTTAAACTTTTTCTTGCTAGAGCTGACAATTTTATAGACAAAATTTAATATACAAAATACTTCTTTTCAGACAAAAAACTCAGTATACAACCTCGACAAAAGTAATGTGGCATTCCAAGATGTGTATATAATAACACATATATGCCAGCTATTCCTGTTCTCTGGTATGCCTGGAATAAACATTATCTCCTCTTCATTCTAAATTGTAAACACAGGTCAGCCGGTGTCCCGGATAGAGGTAAAAGTTCTCACTAAATCTAAAAAATTAGCCATTAACGAGCTGTTGATTCTAGAGAGCTAGAAACCTGATACGATGCTCTTAGAGACTGGAGGCTAAACACACAGGAAAAGAATCTGTAGACCTCTCAGAGCTTTAGAAATCAGGTCTGGGCCCAAAGCAGTGATTTAATTTCACGGCTGCTCAGTACAGATAGCTGACATTACTAAATGCTACTCTAATATCAACTTGTTAAATGTGAATCCAGACTCAGCATATCAGAATACTAACCCAGACTAACTGGAGTCATGGGAAATATTTTGGGAGCTGTTTATTTATAAATGAGTTACAATATACCACTATAATTAGATTAATATATAATTATTGATAAACACAGGGTTATTTCTAAAACTCTACTCTCGTTGCCACTGATGTGCTTAGAAGAATGTAATGCTACTATTTTCCTCTTAAAACAAGTCCGTGGTGTATCACTAATCAATTAGATCACTTTAGATCTAGTGTCATTGAACTTAAGTGCCACTAGACCGATTACAAAACTTTCACACAGAAAAACTGTTTCATCAATAGGAGGAGAAATAATTTAAAGTTCCCCAGTAAACCACTCACATTATAATGTATTATAATTCAAAACATTACCAAGGCAAACAAACAAACACCAGAATCTACACAAGGTAGGCATCAGATAGTCACAAAAAATTAATCAAATTAGCTTACCTAAACTTTAAAAAAATTCTAAGAAGTATATTCGTAACCAAGCAAAATTAATTTACACATATTTAAAAATACCCATTTCCAAAAACATCAACAACAAACTATAGCTAGAACACTGCCACCTAATAAACTAGTTTAAGAATATTACTATAAGTATTTCTAAGTGAGATTTTCCTTTTGGACTAATCATAATTATTTCAGTATGTGCAAAATAAGTTTTCAAATCAAACTAGTGTTATGTTGCTTCATAAAAATCACTTCATTGCTTTCTTTTGTGGAGAAAACAGTTGAATGATTTATATCTCCCCAAAGATAATTTTAAAAAAAAGCTTTTTGAAATAGAAATAGCAATCCTAAAACAGATCAGAACTTGAAATCTGATCTTTACTTATTTCTCTGTAATGTTCCTTGTATTGGCATCTGGGCAATTGGGTAACAATAATAACATTTATCAAATTTCAAAACAGAGAAACCAAGCTAATAATTACCTAATATTTCATTTACCTAAAGCTATCTGACCAGAGTGTTTCATTTTTTAACCATTACTACAGATATATAAATGATATAAATACAGTAATGAACAGATACATTTACTCTTTACATACTATCATCTAGAACTGACTTAGACAGGCTTTTTGGTTGGTTTGTTTTTTATTTTTAAGTAAGAGAAATCTGGCTGGACCTTCCAAATACAGAAATCTTTAAATTCGACTGAAATTCAAAACACTAAATATTTTGAGAAGGTCAAATTATTTAGGCTAAGATTCATTTGAGTTAAATTATTACTGAAGCAAAAAGTATCAAAACAACAGAATTATTAATAAGGCAACTAGGAAATTCAAGATGCCTAGCAATTTAAAAAGCTCAAAAGTATAAAATTTAGAATTCAACATATTGAAAGATTGAGTGACAATTTAGAAAGCAGTCTGAACTGGTGGCTAAAGAAAAAGAGGGTGGAAACAAAATTCCTGTGGCTAAGAGTACATACAAATGCAAATGCCATCTATTTTCCCTCAGCTTTAAACATGAACATTACAGTTTTATCAGTGATCTAGGAAATACAAGTCTTTAAAGCAAGTATTTGTGCTAAGTTGGTTCCTAACAAGATCTTCCCATCTTTCAATGGGTCTCTGTTATTGAACACTTTAAATACACAGTCTACATTTTCCTTTACTTTATGATGTCTACGGTGAAAACAACACAACGATCATTTTCTAAAGTAAAGACAGAACATGGAATTCGATATTAAAATACCAGGCCATCTGAAGGCAAAGATGCCACGATAAAATGGTATGAATTTAAAGCATCTTTTAAATTAATGCTACAAAAATGTTTTTGTGGGCTTAAGTTACTTAGTAAAGGTTTTTTTTTAATGTACATATTTTTACATTGGTAAAGTGAAAACAAAACAGTTGAAAGCTATTCCTCAGACTTACAAATATAAAGTAAGTACTATAAAATATTTGCTAGCAAAGAACCAGGAGAGTATAGAAAAGTGCTTTTATAATAAATTTTAGCCAAATAATTCATTAAGCTATTCCAGTATAAGATGACAATTGCCAAGACCAAAGAACCTTACCTTTTGAGACTGCTTCAAAGAACTGGATAGTTCATTTGTGAAATCTCTGTTGTTGTCTCTTGATAAATGACTAACTTTACCTTCATTTCCAGGTGCAAACTTTATGAGCAATTGAGATGGTCCCCCCTTAGAACAACTGTGCTTAAGGCTGGATAAACAGGAAACATTTGGATACGTTCCTCCCAGTGACAGACTTCTTTGCAAAATGCCCTGGCTTTTGCTAATCTGTGAATTTGGTCTGCTGATATTTATTTGATAATCTCTATTTGAGTTGGATGGCAAACATGCAGATGCCCTATGCCTACGCTGAACACACTCTGAATTAGCATGAAGCTTCATGTCTGACATCTCTGGTTGACAGTCACCGCTTGCTGTTTCACAATCGAAGGTAGTTGCTTTCTGCTGGGTGAAATGCACTGACACACAAGCATATCCTTCAGGTGCCTTGTCACAGACAGTCTGGTGTGGACAGTTATTGGAAAGAACGATTTTCTTCTGTAATGAGCCCTTCCTGTGAAGTGGCCTTATGTCCCTTACTTCTCCAGGAGAACAGATCGTTTTCGATAACCGAAGTCCATTGACAGCTGTGGAGAGGAATCCCTTCGCACTAGTCCCGTCTTCACTGTGCACACTCTCACTGGGGGAAATGATGAACTGGTGTGACGTCTGAAAGGATCCTTTGCTTGAAAGAGCACCTGTACCTGCTGGAGACCTCGGTGGGGTATTTGAAGGACTCCTAGGGAAAATGACCAAGGATGAACACCGTTTCAGTGGAACTTTTGAGTTCCTGCTCACTGGACACTTCATGTCAAGCCCATGCTCCAGGTCATCCTGGACAAAGGGAACGGTACTTGTACTTCTTGGGAAAACTTCATCCGGGGCAGTATTCCTGTTGGGCATACTCCGGTTGGAGGTGGTCTCAGAAGGTAAGTTCCCACCAATGCCAGGATCGTCACTTGGTGGGAAAGTACAACTGCTGCTGTCGCTGATGACACTGTTAGTGTACGAACCTCCACTTGTGATACTTGTGCATGACCCATAATCACTACCGTTGCTGCTATCGGATCCGTTATCACTGGTCGGAAAGTTACCACAAACGGCAGAAAGGTTACCATCGTTCACAGAATTCAGTTCATTATCAACCACAGTATTGCTATCAACGCCTTCCTTCAAGACACAAGGAAGGGAAGCTTCATCCCCATCGGTCAAGGCACTGCGAGGTTGAAGACGCCCACTGTACCTTGTTGGCTGTAGTGAAATCTGTAGGCAGCTGCTCTTTTCGCTAACATTTTCAGAGGATGAGACAGACGATCTTTCATGAGACTGAACGTTTTCCTTTATCAAAGGCGCGAGTGCAGTCTGTCTGGAAGTCAGCTTCATTTGAACCACGTTAGACGCTGAAATCCGCGTTGGTCTCTTGAAGCACATGTGAGCACTGCTATCCAAATCATCTCCGGAGGTTTCTGACAAAGGGTAAGTATTGCTTCTTCTGGCTGCAAAGTGCAATCGTAAGCTTTGTGCCATTTGTTCTCATTTCCAAACATGTTAAGGGCTGAAAGTCATAACAAAGATCCCTGTCCGCAGACAGGCTCGAAGCAGCTGCTCTGCATCGAAAGAAAAAATCATTTGTGGTATCTCAAAGAGCTGTGAAGCAGCAGCCTTTCCCCTTGGTAAAACATTAGACACGGGATCGCCTGGACAGAAAACGGCGATCCATGCCCGAGACTGACGCTCCCCAAAGGTCTTGAATCGCTTGTAGTCAAAATGCCTTCACTTACAAAGCACTTGATTTCCAGCGACCTTTAAGCTGAGCTCAGCTGCAGCACACTGACTCAAACACTGCCAACCTTGTTTCAATTATACCTTCTCCAATTTGCATGAATGAGTAACACAAGAACAACAATCTTCTAGCATTTCAAGTTGAAACAGTACTTTTTCACTGCCCCTCTACTAAATGAACATTTAACTATTTGAATCTCAGTGCCTATGTTTTCTCCCGCAGTTTGACCACTAATATTTTTACCCAGAGGTATAGAATTACAGGAAGTTGGTAGGAATGAAACTCCATGTAATTGAGTATCAAATCAAGGATTGAATTTCCAAATAGTTGACATACAAGGTACGGTGTCCAGTCAAGTCAGTTAATGGAGAAAGGAATATATATGGTTAACTAAACTAAAAAAAAAGTAAATTCTCAAACAGCTAAAACTTTAGAAATACAAAAACTGGGAGGTGAACTAAAAACTGTAGCTTTCAATCAAACAGACAAACATTTTAACTTCTAAGATATTCATTAGAAAAGGTGAAATTTTAAGACTCAAATGATCAAATCAGCACAGTTTCATACTACTGCAAAAATTGAGTTTAAGACTGAGCAAGGGGGTGGGGGGGAGTTGAAGAGAAGCTGTCACCAAGCATTTTCTCCTGTAATTTTAAGGCCTTCCCCAGCCAAGTAGTACAGTCTTTAAATGATGCCATTTATATTTTGACTATTAGAACTCTGCCAAGAAATAGGCTAAGCAAACATTCCATTAAAAATATATGCAGATTAGGCAGAAAAACTATAGCCCAATATAGTTTGAGCACACAGAATATTTTATTCCACTTTCTCTGCAATTCATTCAGTTAAGAGAGTGTTGTGGTAAGAAAAGAAGTTTAAAAAGGATTTAACACATCAAATAAACAGATTTCAATGCCAATTCTGTTCTGCAAAACTGCAAGAGCTCTTTGCTGACCCCTACTGGTGCGTCGAAACAATCCTTTTAGCTGTTTGATATCTATAGAGAAACACAAGCCATGCACTATTTCTTTATGTAAACAGAGCACATCTTTGTTTACATTTTTGAGTACCGAGCCCTGCCCTAGAGGTGGAATTACTTACTACTACCGATAAAGCTCCTCCAACAGTAGACTGGTTGTCCTTTTAGAGGTTGAGATATTTGTACATATACTTTTTTTTTTTACTTTGTATTTATTTAACCTTTCGTTTATTTTCAGTTTACTGGGTAATAAAAGTTTTAATATTTTAATTTCTCTTCCAAATGTCATAGACCAAGGTTGGTATTCTATTTGAAAGCAACGGATTTATTTTAAAATAATACTCTAGGGTATATTTAAACCCCTTACCTGAATTTTATAGTTGGAACTCCAGTAATAAACATATACTGGCTCATTCATAGGAAAGTAAAAAGTAAAATAGTTCAGTTGTTTATACCACATGGTACTACACCCAAGTTGTATTTTCCTAAGTAAGATTTTTTTTCTTAAGCAAAAGCAAATATATAAAATATATACTTGTACTTTTTTTTTAACTGCTTAGGATAAATCTGCTGTCAATCACAATTTTCTGAAGTGTTTTTAATTACTTATGATGTGACAAACTGGGAAATATGGGGATTTATTAAGTGATATTGTGACAAGTATGAGATAGTACCTTTAAAAAGGTCTACAGTATTTATAGACTTGGCAATAAATTATTATTTTGGTTTCACAACACCGCCTCCTTTTTATTTCATAGGCTTCTGTAAATATCCTTTTGTTATTCTTTTTTTCCTTAGAACAGTCTTTTTTTTACTTTAAATTTTAGAACAGTCTTGATCTTCTTACTCTGCCTTCAAGCGACTTCAACTTTCCTCTTTGGGATTCAGTTAGCAGCCTAATCACTTAAAGAATGGCTCACTTTTAATAAGCTCATCAAAGGCCTCTAACTGCTTACATCTCTGACCTAAAACCATAAACGAGAGGCATGTTCCCCTGCTTGTTAACATAAAATTATGTCTTTGGCCAGGTGAATGTTTTCTCTTTGGCAAGCTTTACGATGAACATCGATTGCATGTCCCCCTAACTAGATTTTAAAACCTCCAGAGTGTGAGGTCCATCCTCCAGGCTTCATGCCGAGCGCACATACTCTCGATACTCATGGTCGTCTAGTCGAGTCTGACTCATAGTGACCCTGTAGGGCAGGGTAGAACTGGCCCTGTGGGTTTCTGGAACTGTAACTCTTTACGGGAGTAGAAAGCCTCATCTTTCTCCCATGGAGCAACTAGTGGTTTTGAACTACTGACCTTGGTTATCAGTCTGTGTACCCACTGTGCCATATGGCATTGGGCACTGGGCACTGCTTACAGAGTAAGCACTAAATAATACCAGACAGGAGGCTGGCTGGCTAGACTGGCACACAACCCGTGATTGCCTTTGGTGGTAGTGGTGGGTGCTTAACTGAGGTTGATTGCGCTGTTACATGTACAGAAATATTAAAAAGCCTTGCAGCTGGATAATTTCACAGAAAGGGATCCAAGCCCCTCCTCCAAAAAAAGGCATTGGGGTTGATAAGGTAAGAGAAACATGCCCATTTCCTAGAAACTCAGTGCGGGTTTAAATCCTAGAGGCTGAACAGCTCCTGTTGCTGGCTGAGGTCTGGGACATCACAGGATCTGTCACACAAGTGGCCCGTGGAACCCGGGTAAATTGTAGGTCTGTAGGCCAGCAACTCCCATAAGAAGAGGCTCAACCCTAACTCGCGTGTAGTGGTAACCTCTTCAGGAAGAATCTATGCAAGACCCACAGAATTTCAGACTCTAAAGTGAAATAAGGCGATGGTTTAGGATTAGATGGAAGCTCATGGTCCTGAGTTCTGAGTAGTTTGGGGATTTCAAATATGGTGTGAGTAGGTTCTGACTAGAACCTTGAAAGCCAAAGACGTATTACGCCTGAGAAACAAAGCAAGGCATCTCCACCCAGGGCGTAGAAGCTATCTAAATCTTTAGTAGCTGGTTGTGTGCAGATAAACCTCTTAGGCCAGTGACACAGAGGCACCACCAAGCCATTCTAAAATGGTCCACAACAGTCCCCAGGACCACCAGTATGACCACCAGACCACGGCTACAGCTTATAAGCCTCACATCTTAACACTGGCAGGAACATGGCACATATAGACCATCCCTTTCTCCATAGCAAGTAACAGTTATCTTGTAAAGTTTCTCCAGAAGACAAGAAGTTGTTTCTGCTTTAAGTTTGTAACTGCGCTCTGCTCTTTACATCTCCGATGAGAATTTTCTAGGAAAGGGATATGTTCTTATTTTGTTGTGATACTACAGATTATAGGTAGACTGACATGGTGCCCAGGTCACTCATTGCTACAAAATTAGGTCTTACTCAACCAGCAGCTATGGTCTCTTATCATATCTCAGGTGACCTATACATTTTATGGCTCGAACTAGCAACAAGTCAGAGGACCAGGATGATGACACACACCACCCTGCTTTAATGATCTCTTGCTTCCTTTTGCTGGTAAAGTGAGCTTCACGGGAATGTATCTGTACTTCTAATGCTCAGCAGAGTACAATAACACTGTAGACACAGTAAATGGCATACCTTAGTTAACACACACAAAAAAGATGGTATCATAGAGTTATAAATATGTTATGTATGAATCATGAATAACTTTCTGAGTGCTTCACACTTATTTTATTTTTATATTTATCATAGACAGAGAAAATATTGTTATCCTTATTTCTTAAACATGGGAAAATATTTTCAGAGGGATTGAAAAACTTGTCTAGAGTTATAAGCTAATGCAGGGGTCCTCAAACTTTTTAAACACGGGGCCAGTTCACTGTCCCTCAGACCCATTGGAGGGCCAGACTATAGTTTAAAAAAAAAACTATGAACAAATTCCTATGCACACTGCACATATCTTACTTTGAAGTAAAAAAACAAAAGGGGTAAAAACACCCGGCAGGCCGGATAAATGTCCTGGGCGGGCCGCATGTGGCCAGCGCGCCATAGTTTGAGGACCCCTGAATGTATCAGAGCAGAGATGGGGCCACAAATAGGTCTTCTGACCCCTTGGTGTGGCAATGTACAATATCATGACTAATGTTTTTGTGTGGTCCTTGCTTTTAGTAAAAAAAAAAAAGTTATATGTTTACACTTATCAATCTAGAAACATCCTATTGTTAAACCTTTCATGATCCATGGGCCATCAATATTCTCATCCTCTCAGGTTTCTTGGGACACTGCTATCCCAGTTTTAGTACATGCTTCTGCTTAGAGAAGACCTGTATAAGTCTATGAATCTGAAAAAACAGGCTTCACACCTCACCAATCTTACCACCAAAGCTCAGGAGTTCACTCGGGACCTATCTGTCCCAGATAATTGTATCATAATTCCTGTTAGCTCAAAATATTTTTTTTCCCTTGAGTTCAGCTTGCCTTCCATTACTGAAAACTTTTTCAGGACCAAATTATTTTCTGTTGATCAACAAAGTAACAAAATGTCAATAAAAATAACAAGCAGAAAATAATTTGGTCATGAAAGAGCAAATATCAAAGGCAACAGTTTTTCCTTCCTTCCAACTTATCAAACATTAAAAAACTAACCTTGCCAAGGACTCCAATCCAATTCTTTGTAACCCTAAAAGCCGGAGGAGAATTGCCCCACTGGGGTCTCAAGGCTGTAAACCTTTGCGGAGGCAGGCAGGCCGCCTCATCTCTGTCTCACAGAACAACTTTCAGTTACCAGCTGAGCACAGAACCACTGCACCACCAGACGCCTCTCCATCTCAGCAGGATACCGCTAAAGTTTGAATGCATGCTCAAGAAGGCTAACGGACCAAAAAGTGTATGACAATTGTTACGTTGAGCACAGAATGGTCAGAACACACTAAAGTAACTGTCACAAAAACCCTTAAAACAATAAAAGAGGTCGCCAACAATACAGTGATAAAGTCTCATCAGCGTCAGTTAACAAGAAAAATAATACACTGATAACATGATCCAGAAATCTAACTCCAATAAAGAAACTCAGAGATACCCTTGTATAGGTACCTACAGACATATTTAGGTTAATGATGGATAGAAAATAGCAACAAACTATTCAAATAGCTATTCAGGAGGATAAGTATATAAATTATGGTCTCGCCAATGACGGAACCTATTGTCAGTGATGAAATACTCTCCCTGAAAACGTGTCAACATGGAACAATCTCACAAGTACAACATTAAGCAAAAAAAGTACAAAGAGTGTATTCAGAATGATGCTGCTTGATAAATTAAAAAATATGCTAAAAGAAGCAATGGATTAGGGACACAGACATGCACGACAGAAATGTTTTGCAAAGCAAAGAAATGACAGGCACAATATCAGAAAAATAGCTTCTTAAGGACTTGCACCTGGGAAGGTAGACAAGATGAGTTTCAACGATTCTGGTGATGTTCTAGTTCTTAAGCTGAGTAATAAGTACAGATGTTGTCTCATTGTGTAAAGTAAGGACTTACATGGCTTCTTTGGTCATAGGACATATTTTTATGATTTAAAAAACACACCAATACTACGTTTCATCTGGCGCCATCTAGGAAAACAGATTTGTACAGACAGAAGAAAAACAGAAACAATACCTACGCTGTATAAACAAAGCAACAGCGAGAAAACGAAATCTCCCTCGCTTACCTGTGCTTGTAACGTAACCATCAAGGCCTGTCACTCAGCCTTCAGAAATCAGACGGCCAATCAGTGATAAAGAGTCTCCTTGGCAGCAGAAAAGCACTGCTGCTTACTACGATGCTTGTTATAAATAGATTTTGTTTGTGATACTTCAGTTACTGGTCTAAGTTATCGTTTGTTTGTTTTTTCAGGGAACAGCAACATATATTATGTGTTCTCACACTAAAAATGGATGCTTTATTAAAAATCCAGGTTCTTTGTTAAAATGGTTTCCTTTGTGGTAACGTGTATAACAAACTGATGGTTTTAACACATGTCGCTGTTTTTACTTGCTCAAATCCTACATGTTTAAAATGCAAGATGTTAGGGAGAGAGTTTGAAACAGGATCCCAAAGAGACAAAATGTGAAGGACAGGACTTCAAAGCTGTCTTTAGGAATTACAACTATTATTTTATAAAAATTTAAAAAATCAAGTTTTTTTCTTCTATAAGAGGTGGCAACCCTTTCAAAACTCTCATTCTCACTGTCATCAAATAAATTCTGACTCACAGTGACCCTACAGGAGAGGGTAAAACTGCCCCGTGGGTTTCTGAGACTAACTTTATGGGTGTAGAAAACCCCATCTTTCTCCAAGGCAGTGGCTGGGGGTTTGGAACGCCTGCCCTTTAGGTTAGCGGCCCAGCATGACATCACTACACAACTGGAGATCGTGAAATCCTTTAAAGGACTTGATGTGCTCATTCCTACCATCAGCGGGAGGAGGGCTGAGCTCCTTTGGAAAACAGCATGTTAAGAGGGCAGATGGGATGTTGTAAGTGGATACATGTAAGCTATGAAAAGCCACTGTAGAGAGGAGGCATGACCCAAAGAGATCCTGGGAGAAGACACCAGACCTGGGCACATGGATGAGTGTGAGGAAAGTTAAGATTTCTGTCACAGCAGGCCTTGAATGAGAACATACGCAACGGGTTGACAGTTAAAAGATGACGGGGGAGAGTGGAAGGGTAGAAAGGAGAGAGAAAATTCTATTTAAGTGACCATTTTCTTTTCTTTTTTTAAATAAATCACTTTATTGGGGGCTCATACAACTCATCGCAATCCACACATCCATCCATTGTGCCAAGCACATTGTACATTTGTTGCCATCATTATTTTCAAAACATTTGC